ACATATTCATCCCACAATGATTTGAAAGAGGTATAGTATTGTGTAACAGATTGAGAACCCTGATCCATGTTACTCAAAGATTTTTCCAATTGAAATACTCTAGGACCACTACTGAGGACATACCGAGCCTTAATTTCATCCCAAACAGATTGACCCTCAGAAAAAAATAACTGAGATTGTCGTATGTCTTTAGCAATGGAGTTTAAAATCCAGGACAGAACAAGGTTATTAGCATGAATCCAAGCAACATACTCAGGAGTGTTAGTGTTAGGTTTTACCAGCGAGTCGTCAATGAAAGCAACCTTGTTCTTAACACTCAAGGCCATAAGTACCGCATGAGACCAAGCTACATAATTCTCACCATTGAATAGATCAGCAACAATCACAGCACCAGGATTATCACTGGCATGCAGGTAAACTGGAGAGGTAGGATCATCAGTAAGATTCGCCATCGGTGATTAATATCAGAAAGTATCTGAACAAATGGATAATAGCAAAATCGGTGTGAATCGAAGAGGATCTGTGAAGGTAACAACATATCTAAGTCGATTTTAACCAATAGTTACTAAATCGAAAGAAAAATCAAAAGAAAACAAACGAACAGAGCTAGGGTTCGATCAAAAGCGAGATTCGAACATAAAATGCAGCGGAAAGGAGGATCGATCAAGGTAATCCGTAAACTGATACCATATTGAAACTTAAATGAAAGATTTCATTGGACATTGAACGAAATTTTACAAAGAGATGAACGGTTCTCAAGAGAGAAGAAAAAATAGAGAAAGAGAAGATGTGTGGCGATCGAATTACAGAATATGAAAAGTGAACTATGTCAAACCCTAATGCTATATTTATACCTATACTATATCAGTAAATAAAAATAGATACAAGGGCATATAAGTAAAAACACATAGTATCTAATAAATCGTAAGTGTAAAGTCGAGCTCGAACTAAGCGAACTTAAACCCAACCCGTTTATCAAACAAGACGAATTTACCCTGTTCTGTTGTAACGCGACCATAATTAAATTCGGTAGAATAATTTTAAGCATAATCAAATTTCAAAAGATGAAAAAAAAAAA